TAATGAAGGTATATCATAACATTCTAATGATGGTATATCATAACATACCAATGATGGTATATCATAACATTCTAATGATGGTATATCATAACATACCAATGATGGTATATCATAACATTCTAATGATGGTATATCATAACATACTAATGATGGTATATCATAACATTCTAATGATGGTATATCATAACATTCTAATGATGGTATATCATAACATTCTGATTGTGGTACATCATTACAATCTGGCCAGTGGTGGTTGGTGGGTGTTCATGAGTGATTTGCTCCTTCTTTTCTATAAAACATCTAACATACTAGTCTCTTTTTCTTCTTTTCTTTGGGTATTACTCTATAGCAACACCTGTAATCTTCGGCACTTATATATGATCTATTTGTGTCGAAAGTGCCGTAAAACCTTCATTAAAACTTTTTTTTACCCTTGAAATTCCCCCAGGATGTAGAGGGAAAAAAGGCTGTGGTGTGTGTGAACTTTGAGAAGAAACTGTTTCAACAAGCCAGTCTTCTCTCCCTGCTGAACCCAAGCGTCACAGTGAAGAGCGGTGATTTCCTGGTGCTGAAGGGAGCTTGCTGGGTCGACATTGGCCGAAACAGAGTGGTCATCATGGCTGACCATCCTGACGACATTGATGTCTTGCCTGAGGAAATTGTTGTCGGTTTTTCTCAACTTTTGGCAGAAATTATTAGAGCTACCCAAGCGTCCCAAAGAACGGAAGAAGCTTAACTCTTCCTGTGTACTGTTTTCAAAAGTAAAAGTGGAACTTACCGCCCCTCCCGTCCCAATAGAGGATATTCAATATGTTCTTGGGTACGTTTCTTTTGAAAAAAAATATTTTTAAAAAAGAAATAAAAAAAGAGGTAAAGCTTAGCAATCCCCACTCCCCAAACAGATGGAACTTAAAATGTGCACATGTGCTACTTACATGTCATGTATAAAATAAGGGTGGGGTGGGGGGGGGGGGGGGGGGGGGGGGGGGGGGTCTCGTTCTCAAAATCTTAACGCCATTTTTTTTCAGGTAGGAGTTGTCTTGTTGGCTTTTTTCCTCTGTCTCTCACAATTCTGTTGACATTTTATTCAAATGTTTCTCCTTTATTTTCTCCCAATTCTCTCAAGGCTGTCTTGGTGGGGCACGAGTGTCAGTTGTGGTACAGATAACTGACCATTGCCATGTGGATCTGGAGCCTGGGACATATCTCGTCAGAGTGAGTGTAGTATCAGTTCAGCCAAAAAGGGCTTTGCCAGGGTATAGCATTCAATTCTGATCGTGATACATCAATATATTAAACATTTTCATTTGGTAGGGAATTTTTAGTTTTTCCCGGGTGGCGACCGACGCGTACTCTTATCGATTTTGGACCACCAATTGATCTTTAACGAGTGCAACTTGCACACAGGACCTTCAAGATTTTTCGCTTTCAGTCTAGAAAGCTAGGTGTTAGATCTTATCCTACCATAAGATCAGGGGTGTGGCTGGAAGATAGCAATAAAAAGGGGCCAAGGAGAAGAAGTAGACAGGCTGCAGAAAGAGTCAGGAGCCCAGATGAGGGAGCAAAGGAGGTTCAGGGGAGGGGGCAGAAAGTGGAGACGAAAGCAGACGACAGAACATTGTTAAAGAACAAAAAAGATTTGAACTCGGGACCTATTGAATGAGAGGCAAACACCTTAACCTTTAGATCACGAGAGCCTCCTCATTGCATTCTGATGGTAGTGCATCATTACATTCTAATGAAGGTATATCATAACATTCTAATGATGGTATATCATAACATACCAATGATGGTATATCATAACATTCTAATGATGGTATATCATAACATACTAATGATGGTATATCATAACATTCTAATGATGGTATATCAGAACATTCTAATGATGGTATATCATAACATTCTAAT